GACTCTATAGACTCAGATTATGGGGTCAGCCAATCAGAGATTTAGTCATGTGAACGTAGCTTAAAAAGTTTGAGACACACATGAAAAATGATCTTGTCAGGTCCCAGCAAGAGCTGCACCTCCTCTTATCACAACTGTTCATTTCCAAGCAACTGACTTGAAGCAAATAAGCATATAAGGTAGTCCACTTCCCATGTCTGCTTGGGAAGTTGAGACACTTGTTTTTGGTGGTCTATGAAATGAGAATCTGATGCAGTGACGTGAACACGGTTCAGGAACGGAAAGCAGAAGTGGCCAATAAAATAATGAGCACTGAAGGGACTTTAAGTATTGCAGTTTAGCATCAGAGCCCCCAATTAGGAAACCGATGAGTACTTGATACACTGGCTTCAGCTCCAATCTTATATGAGCCATTTATGCATATGTCATTTGCAAATGAGTCTAACGGTCATAAAAATGCACCATGTGATCATGGGGCTTACCTGTACATAGACTTTTGAAGTCTGCATAGTCGGTTCCGTGACCTGCTGGAACAATTATGGAGCCGTCGTACTTAAAAGCGGCCCTGAGAGCACATTAAAGCAAAAGAGACATACATTCATTCAAAGGCTCGTCACAAAATGTGCAAAGATCTCTTTACAGCTGTCCATTCGCTGCAAGCAGCAAAGCTAATGAGGCAAAGACGGTCCTATTTTCTCTATTTTCAGCACTTCTGATGATCAAAAATCAAAGCAAATTCAACGAGGCTTAAGCTGGCTTCTTATTCACCACCTTCTTGTTTGAACTTCCCGTTCCACCTTAAATGGTGCAGCAGTTACATTCTAGCGCCTGAGGAAATGAATCGGGCAGCGAGAGAGGCACCAGAATGTAACTGCTGCACCATTTAAGGTGGAACGGGAACATTCAAACAAGAAGCTGATGAATAAAAAGCCAACTAAAGCTTCGTGTAAATTAAAGCGTATGACAGACACTTCAATGAAATAAGACTGTCAAACAGACAGACAGCTGGGAAACAGCCGCTCTGGACATCTCAACACTGAAATCAGCTTAGGCTGCTCTGTCACTCACTTACCAGTTAATGTCTGTGGTATCGTCTCGTACGAGGTTGTACGCTTCTCTGCAAGCCTCTTTGTCGATCCGTGTTGCCATTTTGACGGGCGCTGAGGGAGAGATAAAGAAGCTGGGGAAGAATAAAACGAGAGGGACAGGAAAGAGGAGGGCTGTAGCGGGTGTATCAGCGGGAAAGGGCTGATTAAATCCCAGAAAATGAGCCAGACGAGAGTTAGTTACAGCGTAGAAGGGCAGCGATGCTAGCAGTAGCTGTGAGGAGTCTGTGCTCTCAGCTTCAGGCTGCAGGGAAAGAGGCGACTCTCACTACTCGATTCATTTCCTACTGCCGGTTTATGGGCGTTGGTGATATTTGTCAGTCATGCTGCTGTTCAAATGAATCTGGGTGCTCTGTAGCAGGGCTCACCACCTCCTAATGGCCAAGTAAGGGATTCTGCAAAATTAAATCCACCCCATTCCTTTGTGTGTCAGCTGAGTGAGTTATTCTGCCATCTTGTGGATCGTGACCGGCATTGTTCACGTGTCAGAGAACAACGCAGAGCTCCAGCCTCTTATACAAGGTTTGGATTAAAGAGTAACCTAAATGACGGCCATAATATTCGCTGTGAACAATGGAGCATTAAAAGAAAAAGAGGGTGTGGTGGGACACATATTAACATTCATTACTATCACTCTGTCTAAGAGTCAGATCCTGAAATTTTATATGACTTTGTTCGAGCTTACAGTAACTCGAACAAGCGTTCTTTATAACAGTGGTAATCAGAAAGGCATTTCACAATGCACAGCACATCAAACTTTGAGGTGGATGGGCTACAACAGCAGAAGACCACAGCAGGTTCCACTTCTGTCAGCCAGGATCAGGAATCTGAGTGGGCACAGGCTTACCAAAACTGGACAGTTGAAGGCTGGAAAAACGTGGCCTTGTCTGATGAACAGTGGGGTCAAAATGTGGCATTTTTACTGTGTCAACAGTTCATGCTGGTGATGGTGGTGTAGTGGTCAGTGGTGGTGGAATGTTTTCCTGGCACACAATGGGATACGTAATACAAATGGTGCATTGTTTGAATCCCACAGCCTATCTGAGTATTGTTGCTGACCACATGCATCCCTTTATGGCAAGAGTGTCCAGTCTTATCCACAAAGGGCTGGTGAGGTTGCAGGCTTTCATTCCAACAAAGCAGGAACCCACCTCATTTAATTCATCAACTGTTTGAAGGCTGAGACCAACTGATTAAACAAGTGGGAATTAGTTGTGCTCCTGCTTGTTTAGAATGAAAACCTGCAGCCACACCAGCCCTTTGTGGAATAGATCGGACACCCCTGAATTGTGCCAACAATGGACTCATCTTCTAATTGCTACTTCCAGCATGATAATGTGCCTAATCACAAAGTCATCTGAAGCTGGTTTCATGAACATGACAATGAGTTCAGTGTACTTTGATGATTTCCACAGTCATGAGATATGAATCCAATATGGCAATTTTTTGGGATGTGGTAGAACAGGAGATTCACAGCATGAATGTGCAGCTGACAGAACTGCAGCAATTACGTAATGCAGTCATGCCAACATGGATCAAATCTTTAACGAACATTTCCAGTACCTTGTTGAATCCATGCCACACAGAATTCAGGCTGTTTGTAGAGCAAAGGGGATACTCAGTATTAGAATGGTGTTCCTAATAAAGTGGCATTGTGCATGTGTTTTGTAGATTGTAATATTGCAGATTGATTTAAAATGCATGTGCAACTGATCACGATACAGGGATGTGAAAAGCCTCTTTATTTAGGTGGATTATGGCTTGGGGATTAAAGTATGTATGTGCCTGTTAGTCTGAGTCTTAACTGTCTTTTTCCAAAAGCTTTGCCATTTTCCTCTATAAGGTGGTCATTAGACTGTTACAATAGCCCCAGTTTGCCCAGATAAAGATGCAGATGAAAATTAAATTTTAATTAAATCTTACACATTTACATTATGTAATAATGATGATGATTAACGTGTGTTATACTTGTTAAATAAACAAAATTAAAAGTTTCCAGTTGATGGGAACTATCAATAATGGAATGGATCCTCCTCTTCTAGGAGAAAAGAGCACTTATTTCTAATACAAGCGTGACACAACTAAATGTAAAGTTTTGCAGATTCTATTTTTGGCAGGATGTAGTCAATCATTTTCTTCTAAAACAAACAATTACAGAGCTACATAGAACTATGATTTACTTCTTTTCTCCTTCTGGTGGGGTGTGGCATACCATTCAGGCTTACTTAATTATCTTTGATTTAATAATTTCTTTACTTGTCCATATGTAAAGGGTGATATATATAGGAATACTGCAGTGTACTAAACTTTAGGCAGGATTCCTGGCACTGTCAGCCAAGTGTGTGTTGGATACTATTACACAAAGTTGGTAGTGATGCCAGAAGCAATTCTGGTGCCATTTCACAGTGGAATTTGATTTGCAAGCAGTCCAGATGTCAGAAGAGGCTCAGATGTTGAGAAGCTCAAATTCAGCCTGAGATCCAGCAGCACAGGGTGAACAAGGAGCAAACAAAGCAACACATGCTATTAACTTTATAGAAGAGAGGGGTTTTAACCTCTATGTCCTCAACTGCTCCTGTGATAAGGTGTAACATATTTAAATGTACATACAAACATACAATTCTTTCATTCATTGTTAAATAATAACGTGCTCATAATGTACTCCTATGTATTTAATTTCTTTGTGATTTAATTATTTATTACATCATTGGTATTCTTTTCAAGTGTTTACTCTGGTGGCAAGGCCACTTGCAATCAGCCTAGATTAATATGTTTTCAGGATTGATTGATTTACAAGTTGACCAAAGACTAAAGCATTGTTAAACTGTGCATAATGTCAAATAAAGTGAGTTTTATCATTTCTTATCAGTGATTTTAATCATTAATTCCATGTGTAATCTTATAAACCTCTAAAGACACTGTCGGCATAATTCACTGTAAACATAATATTGTCTGCCATAAAGATTTACACTGACCACTTTTAACAAATAGGTCTGTATTGTAAGCGTGTTTGAACTTCTGTTATTAAACCGATGAATTGTTATTAATCCCAAAATACAGGTGAGACACTGATGCTGTGGCTAATCAGCAGTGGAACTGCTTCAGTAACTGAACTCCATTAGTACACTTAAGTATTAGTAAATATTAAGTATTATTTTGGAAGATATGCACTTTAATCAAGTACTGAGTATAAATACTTGTACTTTTACTTAATTACATTTCCAAGAGAAAATCATATTTTTTACCCCTTGCAATCATTTAGTGCTTAAGTACTCGTTACCATGGAGACCCTCTTGAAAAAGGTATAGTCTGTCATAAGGGACTCAGTTGTTGCATAATAATGATAAAGTTTCTCATAATGATGACTTAAGGTGCATTTCAATCGCCCTCGTAGTTCCCTGCAAAGTGTACTGCACAGGGTATTCAGACATTTTAAGGGTGATTCCAAACCACAGGGAGTGAAAAAGTTTTGTTGAAAGGGAACTTCAAACTGCACAGGAAGTAGTGAACAACAGTTCATCACTTCACAGGAAGCAGCAGTAAAGTTTACCCATCAGTCATTGCGGGGCTTTTGAAGATAAGACGTTTGTTTGATTGTGAGGCTGCAGGACGTTTCGAATGACGATATTTATCAACTGCAGTTCCCAACCTGCACCTCCCTTAACATCCTGTACTCAAGTGTGTAGGAAACATTGCACTCCATAGGGACCCTGTGGAATGGAATGCTGATTTAGTATCTCAAAATTATGAGAAACTTTTTCATGATTTCACTAAAGTACAGTTTCTCTGTACTTTTTTCCACTCCTGTGACTAACACTACCCACACCACCATTCGTTTACTGACATGACTTTTATTTTGAAACGTAGAGCTCCAAAAGGGAGCTATGTGAGCAAAAGTATTGAAGTGAGCTTCACGTTTCCTCATGCTTTTCACGATCGAATTTGTTCGTGCTAATTACAGCTATTTAAAAGAGTAATTTCCCCAGGAATAGGATGACACAATGGTAAAATGTTTTATTCTCCTTGCTAGCTGGTTGTCATCAAAAAAGATGAGAGACTTGTGCAGCAGTGCTCATTGTCCAGTAACGCTAACTTACCTTCTGCCCAGCGAGCTATTGTGCTGTCTGTCTGTCTCAGTGTGTGGCTGTATTGTTAGTTTGTGCTCGACTTAACAGCCCAGCGTGCTGAGTAACGAACCTCACTAACCGTCGGTTCTGATAGTTTTGCCAGTAGTGATGGTTTTTGCTGGATTCTGTAAGATTACCTGTTCGTTTGTTTTTTTATTAACTCGTATGAAGAGTCTGTATACAAACAGGTTTAACTTCCCCATCCTCGCTAGTCAGTTAACGTAGCTACCCGTAGTTAGCTAGCTAGCGTTTGCTACTTGACTATAATGACTAGTGAAAGCTTGTTAAGAAGGGCGCAAAGCCATTTAACTAGATTACTTTAAGCGTTACTGTATTTGTAGGTCTGAACAGCAGGTTTGAGGACACTGCTCTTTTGCTTGAAGCTTGAACGCTCGTTGTTTGTGTACGAGCGGCTGGAGCGTTTTAAACTTTTTTGCTCTAATTTATCAGCCTCAGAAATATTTTCATATTCTCGTTACTGGTATTGTTTGGGTGTGAGGAATGATTTTACACATCACTACCAAGGTGTAGGCATGTAAACCGCTGGATGCTCCGTTTCTCTCCCACTGAATAAACACAGGAACTAAACCCGGTCAAAAGTAACCCAAGCAGCTGTATCTGATAGGGCCTGGGCTAAGAGGACAGGGGCTCCACTAGGGGGACACCGTTTTAGAAAACACACCGTTAAAATGAACTTACTCAAATAAAACCTTGAATACTTTAGAAAATTAAAATGACACTCAAGCCAAAATAAATAAATGTAACCATCACTACATCTGTTGTGAAGATTCTTTCTGATGACGTATCTTGAAGGTGGGAAGAGGTCTGAAAACTTCTTTTGTTGTATATTTTGTGGAGGGGGGCTATTTTGATTTTTTTCATTTGCTGGTGAATGCAGATGGAAGGCAGATGACTATACCCTATTGCGCCTGCATAACTGTGTAACTGCCTCCAAATAATCATTACAGCTAAGAGAATGGATTACTCACACAACAGAGGTGAGGAGGACAAGCTAAAAGCTAAATTTAGCTGGCTATGTAGATATCTTACCTCAGGTTGGCTTCTTTTCTGAAGCTGAAAGGGTAAAAAAAAACCCTCTTTTTTCCATTCTGTGTCTTGTTGGTTGGTAGCACAGGGATTTCCAAAGGTTGTGTGATGTATTTCTACAATGCATGCTGGGTATTGTAGTGAGAGAACAGTGATGAACGAAAACATAAAAAACAAAATAGCGAATTCTGTCAAACCGATGAGGGATGTAAGGCTCCACTTCAGAATACTGCATAACACGACAAATGGCGTATTAAACTAGAAGAATATTAGAATGCCCTTTAAGACCTAAAGTCTTATTTTAGCAGCATTGATACATACAGTGATTAAAAATATTCGCTTCTTCAGATGTATTCAGTTATTTCACATTTTGTGTTACAGCATGGAAATGGACTATTTGTGAACAGTAATTTAAGTCATTGCGAACATTGCACTTAGCGTTCATGTTCAGTTTTGGTCTCATGGACAATAGAATTTTACTTAAAGTTGTTGGGTTTCACACATGACTTTGGGCAAACTCCAGCCAAGATGTGATGAGGGTTTTTTTGCATTCACAATTTCTCCCATCAGTGGTTGACGGCTCATTTGGAGTTTCTCTAGGATCCTTTGTGGCCTCCTGTACTACAGCGTCCTGACCAGACACTTGGTTTTGGGAGACCGGCCAGTTTCTGGCAGATTTACAGACACAGTCACTCCATATTTTTTCATCATTGTGATGGTAGACTTCTCTGTGCTTCAGGGTATGCTCTGTGCCTTGGAAATGTTATTTTATCTTTCCACTAAATTATATTTTTCAAGAACCTCGTTATTATGTGAATCACTGTTTCTGCACACAGGTGGTCTCCAGTCAAACAAATATGGCATGGAGAAGTGAGTTGGTTACTGCAGTGTTAATTAAGGTGTACCAAAGCAACTTGCTTCGTTCAGTTTTTTTTTTTTTTGTATTATATTTTATTTAATTCAGTAACATGTAATTTAATTTTTAAAGAACTTCATAATAATGAGAGGCATGAATGATAGCCATGAAAGTCTTTAGATTATTATTCCATGCTGTAACACAAAAAAATCTTGCATTTAAGTTCATCAGCACAAAATGTTTTATTGTTCAGTGTCTAAAGATGTTGGAATAAATGTCAATAGCAGGTGTATTTGTATCTAGCTTGTTCAGTAACAACATGAATGGTGTATTTATTTAAGAGCGTCTGAAGTGGTATCACCCACATGTGACTGGTGATTTTGAAACTTGTTGTATTATTTGCTGCATGTTGTAGATAGTTTTAGAGGGAGATGACACAATGGATGGTGGGAGGCAGGCTCGTCTTTCACGCCCACACCGAATCAGCGAGTCTTCGAAAGTATGTATTTTTCCTCCGTTGGGCCGTGTTCAAAATTCCTTTAACACATTGGATCTTAATCAAGTCCTTGGGGATAGTGCATGTCTTTTCTTTATCCCAGCTTCCAGCACACCTGGACCAGGTGTTGAATTCTTCATTGCTTGGTTCAGGTGTATTAAGAGTAAGGACAAAATGTGGACTGTTTGGGGGGCCCAAGAACTGGTTTTAGAAACACATTTTGAGAAACAAGTGTCTCTTAAACACTTGTTGAGAAAAAGAATATTGGAAAAGTATGCATCTCTTTTTTTTCTCTTGTAACAGGTGTATCGATGGGCAGACCAAGCTAGCTATCTCCTGCAGGGTTTGAATGAACAGAGAGAGTGTGGTCAGCTATGTGATGTGGTGTTAGTGGCCAATGAGCAGCGGGTGCCTGCACACCGGGCCCTACTGGCAGTCTCCAGTCCGTACTTTCAGGCCATGTTCACCCTTGGCATGCGAGAGGAGCGCCAAGCCGAGGTGGAGCTGGTGGGAGCCTCCTACGTTGGTGTGAAAGCAGTTGTGGACTTTATGTACAGTGGTGAACTGCCACTTGATGGTGGGAACATTGACTATGTGCTGGAGACGGCTCACCTGCTGCAGGTGTGGCGGGCGGTAGATTTTTGTTGCCAGTACCTGGAGAAGGAGGTGAGCGACGAAAACTACCTGTACCTGCAGGAACTTGCCTTACTCTACAGCCTGGACAGGCTGGACACCTTCATAGACCGCTTTATCCTGGAGCGGTTTGCCACGCTCTCCTTCACTCCAGAGTTTTTAAGGGATGTGCGCTTGTCCAAGCTGTGCTCGTACCTGGCGAGCGAGCAGGTGCAGTATGAGAGTGAGCAGGCCCTCCTCCAGGCTGCCCTGCAGTGGCTGAGCCAGAGGCCCGAGCGCACAGCCTTTGCCCGACAACTGCTCTCCCATATTCGCTTCGCCCTGATCCCCCCAGAGGAGCTGATGAAGCAGGTGCTGCCGACCGTACGCTCTCTGCTGCCACCAGAATCCGGTTGTGAAGCTCTGGTGGAAGAGGCGCTAGGCTACCATGCCCATGTCAGTGCACAGCCCGTGCTGCAGACAGCCCGCACAAAGCTAAGAGGCGGGGTAGAGCGCCTCTTGCTGGTTGGAGGGGAGGTGTATGAGCGTGGGGAGGAGCTTAGCACTGAAGTGTGCTGGCTGGATGAAGAAGCAGGGACATGGGAGGTGGAGACCCAGCTGCCAGCTCAGAGGAGTCACCATTGCGTGGCAGTGCTTGGAGGATTCATCTTCACTGCAGGGGGAAGTTCCTCACGGGACAATGGGGGAGGCGCAGCAAGTAACTTACTCTACCGATACGATCCACGCAACAACACGTGGGTCAAGGTAAGCAGCCCCTGACAGTTTCACAAAGCATTGAGATTTAAGTTCGATAAATGAATTGACTAAATAAAAGATCTGACTCTATGTATGAATTAACAGGTCACTATAGAGATGTTGTTTAGAGAGTTGATATGAAATCACTTGCTGCAGTTAACACTAAATGGCCAAAAGTATGTGACACACATCTGACACACCTATATGAGCTTGTTGGACAACCCATTCCAAAACCATGGGCATTAACAGAGATCCAGCCAATGTTTGCATGTAGAAATCTTGGGCTTGTGTGTAGCTGCTCGGCCATGGAAACCCATTTCATGAAGCTCCTCGCGCACAGTTCTTGTGCTGATATTGCTTTCAGAGGCAGTTTGGAACTCTGTAGTGAATGATGCAACAGAGGGTAGGCTATTTTTATGCATTACACACTTCAACACTCAAGCAGCCTGCTATGTGAGTTTGCATGGTCTACCACTTTGTGGCTGAGCTGTTGTGGGCCTGAGATGCTTCCATTTCACAATAATAGCACTTACAGTTAACTAGGGCAGTGTCACGTTTAAAGTCTTCAGTATGACCCATTGTACTGCCAGTGTTTGTTTGTGGATACTACATGGTAATGTGCTTGATTTTATATACCTGTTAGCAATAGGTGTGGCTGAAACACTTAAACTCACTGACTAGGAGGGGTGTCCTCATACCTTTGGCCAAATAGTATATCTGATAGTGATAGTGAGAAATCAAATTTATTCCAAATGGAATTGATCAGCCACAGCATGTTTGGTGTCTGAGGTTTACTTTTTTTAGTTGCGCACTGGAGCTTTGAGGCTAATATAGTAAAAGATTAGTAGAAGCTTATGCTTCGCCAGTTAGCATAGTGGAAAAAATATTATCACATGCTTGCCTCAAATCTTGCTGAGTTATTGAATACTCTCCAGGGGTGGGCGATATGGCAACCATATATCATGATGCTTAAAGCCACTTTCACAGTGTGCATCTCCATATTTAGTTCTTTTTGAGGTTTGAAAAGTTAGAAAACACATAAAATGCACAAGCTGTGCCACATTTAAATAATATTATTGGAAAAAATATGTTTAGTTCAGCATTTCACATGACTGATGATATCCATGAAATGCTCAGAAAAACATTGTGATATAATATGACGTAATTTCCCATGGTAATGACAAATATCGTCGTATTGCCCACCACACAGTAAACTTTCTAGTTTCTAGCACAAAGATATGATGACTCTATGTTCCAGTATTGTCATGTTACTGTCTAATCTTTAGAGTATGTTGCTTCAGTTTGTAAGTCTTGTCAGTTCTTTTGCTGTAGAGTGCCTCTATGAACCAGCGGCGGGTGGATTTCTATCTGGGCACCATGGGGGAATGCCTGATTGCTGTTGGAGGACGTAATGATAGCGGTGCACTATCATCTGTAGAGGTCTACCATCCTGTTGAGGATTACTGGGCCTATGTAGCAGGACTCCCCAGGTCATCTCTCTTCTCAGGCATCATTGTTTAGCAGAAATTAGAGCTTAGTTACCTCTTTGCAAACAATAACTTATAGATCATTTGCAAACATTACAAAAATGTATTATTGTTCCTTTCTTAAAAGTTCCTTAAGCAATTTTACGTATCGTTTTTTAGATTCACATATGGCCATGCGGGCACTACACATAAAGATGTTGTTTACATCTCGGGAGGCCATGACTACCAGATTGGACCTTACCGACGTGACATGCTGAGCTATGACCCAAGCTCTGGTGACACATGGACAGAGCGGCAGGCTATGACTTTGGCTCGAGGCTGGCACTGCATGACATCATTGCAGGACAAAATCTATGTCATTGGGGGAAGTGACGACCACGAGGACAGCATGGAGCGCTTTGACGTGCTGGAAGTGGAGGCCTTTGATCCACAGACTGAGCAGTGGACTAGAATAACTCCACTGCGGTATCCCAACAGTGAGGCAGCAGTAGCAGTATGGAATGGCAAGATCTATGTCATGGGAGGCTACACCTGGGAGCACATGGACTTCTCTGAAAACACTCAGGTGTTTGTTCCAGAGAAGGGCCAGTGGGTGATGGGACCCAACTTGCCCAGGTACATTGCTGGAGCCTCGGCGTGTGTTTGCACTGTACGACCTCAAAAATCCTGCAGCACGGAGCAGAATAGGATAGGACAGAGGGGGAAAGACAAGCAGAACTCCAGTCAAGGACAAGACAGATAACTGTAGGAGGAAGCCCTGTTATTTTATTGCCCTGAAAGCAGATGTGTGTTTCTTCCCAAAATGCAGACTGTGGCACTAAGGGCTTGAGCTGATCTGAGATCAGTATTTCTGAACTGCTGATGGAGGAGATGGGCTGGATTAAACTGCTGTTTTGAGTCATTTCTGAATCAGTTGATTGCAATAATGAGTGATTTTAGAGGTGCCTCTTCAGGCCTTTATAAGAGTGTAGGCAATTATTCCATCTGTAGAAATAATGTGCTGTTGTGTCTGTCAAGCTGCTGGTGAATTTTTCAAAGCACAAATCTGAAGATATGTTTTCTACCACCGCATTGTGTGTAATGCTTGCCTTTGCAATTAACGTTTCAGATAACTTCATTATGTGGACTAACATGGGCAGACATTTTCAGTATTGCATTAAAACATTAAACACACTGCATATTGTTGTTTTTTTTTTAAAAAAGTTTATTAACTTAAATGCATTTTATTCACTTCTCCCTCACTTTACACATGCCTCAGATTATTACAATGTAAATTGAAAAAATAGTTGTTTAAAATGTTCTTTCATCTGATTGGAACAGCAGCATTGTAGACTCATTCACAATGGAGACAGCCTCCCTGTATCTCAACCATGCAGTACTAACTGCATTTCACTTAAAAGGGTAGAAAGGATGATTTTCCAGCCTGTGGAACAAAACCACACCATTGTTAAGTAGTAAAGAAATGTGTTTTGGACCACAGTGTTATACAAGTGGTTTAAGTTTTATTGGGGTGAAAAGTGTGCTCTTACTGTTCTAAGATGCAGGCCTTCCAGCCACGATTTAGAGACCTTAGTGCTCTCATATCCTCCTCATCCAGAGAGAAGTCAAAGATCTGCATTCAGATTTATGTAATACATTACTCTAGAGTAAAACACTATTTATGCTATAGTCTACTTAATTTTTAAAAAATAATTTTGGAGTACCCTTTAGTGTGAATCAATTTTTTTTGCCTTACTACTTTTCCATATGCAAAGTATGGTTTGGAAAAATGCAGACCATTTTTTAAATGCTGGGATTATGTTGAGAGGGATGAGTTACCTTTGTGTTTTCCAGAATATGGTTGGGTTTAACACTCTTTGGAATCGCTACAATGTCCTGTTCGATGTGATATCTTAGCAAAACCTGTAAAACACCCCAAGATTCAACATTTAGGGTGCAGTGTAATACACACAGAATACAAACGAAACCATGTGTCTACTTGTTTGAGAGAGGAGGTATGACCTGCGCAGGAGTCCGTCTGTGTTTTGCAGCAATCTCCCCAACCACAGGGTCCTCCAGCAGCCTTTCAGGGTCTTTGTTTCCTCTATGCCTGCACAAAAAAGATTGTGGGAGAGTTTAATTACTTCAGACCAAGGCTCATTCAGACTGAGATTATAATACATGATCATCTACAAACCTTAATTCCAAAACAACTAAAACTATGTGAAATGCAAATATAAACAGAAAGCAGTGATTTGTAAATCTACTTTGACCTGTATTTAGGAAAATAGTACAAAGACAAGATGATGTTTTACCTTCATTGTTTTTATAAATATACACTCATTCCAAAAAAGCTCAGGGTCAATTAAAGATTAGGAACATTGAGAAGTGTTCTAAAAATATCTTAAACAGGTGATGTAGCCAAGCCAAAAGGAGGAAATTCAGGAAAGGCATAGTCCTTTAAGAGCAAGGATGGGTCAAATGCTCACTGCTTTGCCAAAACTGCATCAGAGAATAATCCAACCTGTTTAAGAACAACATCCACAAATGCAAGGTAAGACTGCATGATGCACAATGACATTTATGAAAATGTGTTCACTGGGCCAGAAAAAATGAACCATACAGATTGTTACCAGTATAAAGTTCAAAATCCATGGTATGAGGTGTATTTGTGCCCATGGCGAGGATAACTTGCACATCTATGAAAAGGCCATTAATACTGAAAGATATAAATACGTTTTGGAGCAACATACTGTATATTTATGCGTGTATGTACATTTACAAATTTGGATTGTAGATTTACGAAAAATAATGAAGTTGATAAGCTAAAACATCTAATGTCTGAATTCATTTAAATACAGTTTAAACAGGATTTACAAGTCAGTGCTTTCTGTTTAAATTGATTTGAGGTTTGAATAAATTAGACCAAAGAAGAGCTTTAAATTTGCACTGCAAGATTCTAGTTTGACAGGTGAAACATGTCCAGGAGTCAAGTCCTTTAAATTGTACATATTTGTCTCTAAGGCTAAATAATAAAAGTGTTGTCAAATGCAGGGTACTCACATCTCTTTGGGTCTGTCTGGTGAGCCAAAGGGACTGTAGGCCGTGAGAGCAATATTCTTCGACTTACAGTATTCAATCAGATCAGACTGAACCAGGTAAGGGTGAAGCTCTACCTTTAAATATATATGCAAATGTTATTGTTGAGACCAGTAGGTAAAAACACTGTATTGCTCTACCTGTACAATGTCTGAATACCTGATTGACAGCTGGAGGGACTTTAGCCACAGACAGCAGCCTCTCAAGTTGTGGGATTGAGAAGTTGGACACTCCAATACTCTTCACTTTTCCAGAAGCCTTCAGAGCTTCCATCCCCTGCAATGTACATACATAGGACACTGTGTAACAATCAAGAACCTGTTTGAACCTCTTTATGGGTTTTACGGATCACAGAAGTTTCTCCTTACCTTCCACACATCCACATAGTCAGTGTCTGATGCGAGAAGTTTTCCATCCTTCATTGGAAAGAGCTCATCACCAATTTTCTGCAGAAGCAGGAAAGGAAGAAGCCAAGCTTCAGGTAAGTCTTAAGTAAAGTAAACATGACCACAAGCCATCAGGTTATTCTATGTCAAGCATGAGTTATCTGATGCAATGCCTACAAAAAGATGAGCCTTCGACGTTCAATGATTTTGTTGGTTTTGTGATTCTCTTTCTTTGCCCTCTTGAAGCTCCACAACCATTAGACTCTGCCTTGGCCCTGTCTGTGTCCTTCTAGCTCCTCATTCACTACTGTCTGCACCTGTGTCTTATCAAGTCACCAGATATATATATATATATATATATATATATATATATATATATATATATATATATATATATCACACAAAACCATAATGATGATCATTCTGTTTCACACAACACATAGTGAAGTCCGCTGTAACAGGCTAAGGGGCCAGTTGTTACATTAGCCAGGCCTCAGCCTCGGTCATGGGGACCCAGTGCAATGCCCCAACACGCCTGATCCAGCTCATCAAATAATTATTATTTATTTATTTATTTATTTATTTATTTATTTATTATCTTCATAAGGTGGATCAGGTAGGTTGGGGGAACAAAATACCTGAAACTGTGCAGGACAGTGGGTACCCAGGACTGGAATCGAAAACCAGTGCACAAGACTAGTGATCCCTCATGTCTGCCCATGACAGTGTGAGCTATCAGTAGTGAGCTAGTTTAGCTAACTAGCTAGCTGGTTAGCTCATACTATCTGGTTGAAAATCTAAAAGTATTTGTTTTTTATGAAAGAAACAAGCTCAAGTGAGAGTACGTAGCAGATATTTTCAGTGCCTTGTTAATTGCCCATGTCTAACATTAATATTAGCCAACCACAGCTTGGTTGCCAAATATTAATGTTAGACATGGGTTGAAATAAAGTGTTGTAATTTCAAATCATTCAAAATTCCACACATGGTGCCTCCCTAAAAACTGAATTCATTTCTGGTTGCTGCAGATTGTGCTTCTACACCTATATTTGAACCTTTTTTTATTCACCTTTTCTGATCACTTATATTCACGCTGATAAAAAATCTACCCTTGACAATAATCAATACAGTGCGGTTATGTAACCTGTAGTCCCACAGGGAAGTGCACCAGGTACAAGTCCAAGTAATCCAGTTGCAGGTCACTGAGAGATTTATTCAGACACACAGGGATGTCCTCAGGGGAAAAATAAGTGCACCACAGCTGGACACAAAAAAACAGAGATGCTTTATTAGTTTATCTGCAGAGATTTTACACATCAAACATTCAAACTGTATCTAATTTCATACAGCAGCATGCAAGCACAGCTCTGACTGGGTGAGACTTGTGCTAAATGTTATTTTCGTAGGGTGTTTATTTTCTTAGGGTGATTTACATGCCTTCTTAGTAATATTTACTAACAGTTATCACAGAGACTCACCTTACTCACAACAAACATGTCCTGGCGCCGAATGATGCCCTGCTGTATCTTGGAGCGGAGGGCCTTGCCCAACTCCACTTCATTCTGGTAGCTGTGGGCAGTGTCCAAATGACGATAGCCAGCAGCTATTGCTGTCTCAGCTGCTCCTTGACACTGTTCTGAACTTGTGCTCTGGTGACCAAAAAATACAATATTTCTCATTTCAGTGTTTATAATATATGTTTTAACAATAATATATAGGTGCATAGAAAACTACCAATAATATTTCACAAAATGAGCTACTTTCATATTAAAAGATTCCCAAAACAGGTTATTTTAGGGTATTTTTGGGTGGACTTTTTATCAGAGTGTGAAATATTTACATTTTTAGTTAGTTTTCAGTGGGATTTTTTACAAAAAAAATCCAGTACATTAGAAGGGGAATTCCATCTATTTTTTTAGATGTCTTCATAATTCAGTTGTTGAGATGTGAACAATATTCTATATAGTGTTTTCATGTGAAATGCAGAGAATTGCATTGCAGAAAAATTTACCAATTTCTTTACAGTGGTGGTCATAGGAACCAGTGAACCTTCATGTTTTACAGATTTGTTACATGTAATGTTGAGGCAACTAAAACTGAAGAAAAAAAGAAAAAAAAGTGTTCTTTTGGGACTATAATGCCTAACATGAATCTCTTTGCCAAATACAGTTTAGGCCAAAAACATATCTCAAAACATTTGGAAAACAATGGCATCAGGGGTGTATTCGTAACCATGTCATGTAATAACTTCCTGTGAGGGTAGCTTATAGAAGCATTCAATGCTTTAAACAACCAGTTCATATTAACACTGTGAACAATTCTGACTGATTGAGTTTTTCTAAAATGGAGCATTTCGCATCAAACCACTCTGAATGATTTTGTTTGCATCTTAATGATTTAATTATGCAGAAGTTTTAAAAAATCAGTGGATTTCAATTTTAACTCTACAAGTAGGCCTAGAATCTGCTACTGTATTTTACCATATGCCAGACCAACTCCTCCTTCAAAGGGGCCAAGGTCCAGCACCATTTGAGTTTTTCCCAGCTCAAACACTTTGCCAGGTTCAACCCCTTAGATGGCCAAGACCTGCTAGTGGGTCCAAAGTTTTGTTACACACTTTTATAACCTAAGAATAACTCAGCCATTTTGCGTTGTAGCCTTTGCAGTTACAACATAATAAGCCTTAGAATGTAAAAGTCTGGGATTTGGAATGTGTTACTAGGTGTGTTAGAGCAGGGAAGTAACTAAACTGTGCCAGACTATTCAAATATGTGATACCGTCTTAAAGAATATGACCTTTTCAATAACACACTTACTTTCTCAATATAGCCTTTTTTACTACCAGCTTTATGATTTTACAGTTATGACAAAGGACTGCCGTTTACAACCTTATTATAATTTCATAAAATCACATGATCATCAATTTGTTGCTAGCTCATTTTGTCCAGGTGCAAGGAGTCTGGGGAATGCTAAGTAAATTCTTTCAAATTGATGTTAAATAGTTCTCTGATTTGTTGGCAGTGATATTTATGCAAGTTCAGGATTTTGCCCTAAATAGAAGCCAGCACACTAAATTCAAAGTTGCTGTGAGTGAAGTAACTATGGCTATCAGACAAATCAAAGGAAGATGCTTGCTCTACACACGCAATTTACAAAAATGTAATCCTACCTTTGACTTCCATGTTCCCAGACCCAGCAGTGGCATAAAGTTGCCATCATTGAGTTCTATCTTCCTAGGTCGTTCACTGCCCTCATCCATGGAGGAATACTTTTTGCAACGTCAAACAAATGCCAGATAAGTGAACTGGCTGGTCCTTCCTGTCTTTTTCTTCCTCAAGTTCCTTTACTTCTTTCTTTCACTTTTTCGTCTGCCTCGCTGTGAACTCCCTCTCTGCTGCCTTCTCTCTTTATTTATCTTAACAGTTAATCATTGAACCTTACTCTGAAGGTGTGTGTGTGTGTGTGTGTGTGTGTGTGTGTGTGTGTGTGTGTGTGTGTGTGCATGTGCAAGCATACATTCTTTACCTCTATTGTGCATGTATGCACTACAGCCTGTTGACAAAATTGAGGAAAGTGACCTTAACACCTTAGACCATGTGACACCGCCATTTCCTCCAGAACAATGTAAAAATGAGGAAGTGAAGGTTTTCACTGAAGGAATAATGCAGCACATTTATATTACTACAGCAAAAAATTGCTGTTTATCCAAAGCCTTCCCATGTCCAGAGCCCTCAAATCTGGGGAGGGGGACTGTAGTCCTAGAGGGTCTGATTCCCGCACAGTTTGGTGATTGTTCTGCTCAAACTCCTCTGTTAATAACTAGGTTCAGATGTTGGGTCAGAACAGTGAAATCAGCAAACTGTGCTGGACTCTGGTCTGGTGCCCAGGTCCCCATGTCTGTTTTAAATGTATTTCTGTGTGTAATTCCTAGACCAGTCAGTAGAGAGTAGCAGAGTTCTACGGAATCCTAGAACTTTTCCTAATACCAAAAATTCAGCTGTGGGTGAAGCCATAGCCACATTCTACCTTCCTTCACTTTAGTGCTAATAGGTTTCATCTAGAGTATATTTGTGACAACAACATGATTTTAGCAGTTTAAGAAATGGAAATCTCACTCTTTACTGACTTGTGAGAACAGATCAACTGCATTGTTGTTCAGTCAGCTGTAGCGTGATACTCCAGGATTGGGGGAAAAGGCATAATGCCTTGTCAGAAAACTGATACACAGCTAGGGATGCTTTCACTAGCCTGGTAGGATGTCTGGTTGGATGTGAACTGAAGGGATAGAGATAATCTAATTTTTTCAAATAGATTTTGCTTAAGAATAAATTTCATACACCTAGGAACAATAGTTCTTTAGCTTTTGTGTCTCTGTGAGGCTTGTGACATGTTCCTTGAGAAGGACACTGTGATATGAGCTAAGGACTTGTTTTTCCAGTCTATTGTACTGGAAGTGGCAGCGGGCCGGCGGCCTGTTGCCCTGGAGCTGAAACTGGGTGTTTTCATCATCATATAAGTGGATGAAAGGTGACCATTTGAGGGCCTTTGGCCTTACTGAGAGGCCTTGCAACTCTTGCTGACGTCATTAAGTTGGACACTATCTTTGTTGACTGAATCTGACCAATGATACTGTGTTTTATGTCTGAGCTTGTATGAGTCTGCATTATAAAACTTTTGAATTGTAATGATGAATCAGCGATTTTATACACAGACTGTAACTACTCAAGGTCATCAAAGCTGAACAACAAGATGTTAATTTGTCACGGCACATATGGCCTATGACAAGTTTGTGTTGGAGAGGGAAGACCTTCAGGAGCTCTCAGCCCCACTGCTCTCTCTCTCTCTCTCTCTCTCTCTCTCTCTCTCTCTCTCTCTGTGTCTCTCACTTTCTCTCTCTCTCTCTCTCTCTTTCTCTCTCTCTCTACTCAACTGATTTTCTTTAAGCTTCATCTTAGTTAAGCATTTATATATATATATTTGGGGTATATCATGTAACAGAAATTGTGAATGGGTGTTTTTCATACATTTTTTAAACTTTGATCTTATAGTTATGCTGTGGTAAATTATCCAACAATATTTTTGGGCTTGTTATTTAGCCTTAAGATGTCTGGTCTCAGGAAGTTTGCTATATTGTAATTCTAGTAACCTCATCAAAATATTTGTAGATCTAAAATCTTTCAGGAAACAATACCTCACAGCTCCCTGTCTTTAGCTAATCAACATTCACTGTTGGATTACCTAAACCAGCACATAGTAAGCACCAAGTTTTGGTCGTGTATTTGTAGAAACAGTTTGAGAGACTTGTTATTATAGTACATAGTTACTATAGTAACTATAGTTACTATAGTACTAGTATACTAGTGTTTGTCAGTAACACTAGCCTCATAGCTTCAGCTCAAAACTAAAGAAGCAAAATTTTGATAGATAAAGTATCTTGGCTGATCGACTTGGGGTAAGTAGAAAAACATGTAAATTTGATTTTTCGCTGATCTATTCCTTTAAACCAGCAGTTCCCAATCCCAGTCCTGGGGATCTCACACTATGCACATCTTTGTGCTTTGTCTAATCTAGCATACCGGATTCACTTATTAACTAATTAAAAGGCTTCTTGTGGGCTGTTTCCTGTGTGTCGAGTAGGGAAAACATAAAAATCTGCAGAGTGGGGTCATCAGGACTGCGATTAAGAAGACTTGCCTGAAACTGTGTTTAGTTCAGTAATCTCCAGAAGATTTGCCTGTGTAGTTTCTGACACTATGATGTGAAGTCTACAATTATTGTAGCATTCAGGGGGGCTGATTTCGCACAAGTCACGTGGCTTTACTTTTTAGCTGTTGTAAGCCACAACCATGCTGTACACACCTTCTGCATTTTCTAGTTCTCCCCATCAAACAGTCCAGAACAAGTGAACCAAATGCAGTAAATGCTAGAGAATGCATAACCTAGAACTAACACGCCAAAACATTTCTTGAACACACTACATTATGTTTGCTACAAAAATAGAAGAACTTTAACCCATTATATATATATATAATCCATATAGCCCAAAGACTTAAAACAGTACAATAAGGAAATTGGCCACCAATTTTTCTCTGTTTGACAAAAATAGCTGAGATTTGGTGTCAGGCCACTTTGTGGCATTGCCTATCCAACCAATATTAAAGTAAATTCATAATCCTTAGATTTCAATTTTCTAATATTATTCATAGTTGGAATTTTGGACAAACAAGGAAAAATTCCAAAAATAAATTCGGACAATAAATTATCTAATAAATATCACATTTATCCACAAGTTGCCTATATATTGCCGTGTTTTTGTTGGTGTGGATTTTGTGTGGGAGCCATTTTCTTATTGTACTTCTTTGGTCAATTAGAATTACTTTTTTATATTTTTTAAAAATAAGTTTATCACAATTTGATAATTTCTCTTGAAGTGATAAAATGGACCAATATCTCAACAAATCACCATCAAAATTTTAATTACCACCATATACACACACAAAACACACAAAGAGTGTGTGCTTTATAGACGAATTCAATACATTTCAATGGGAAGCCACTATGTATTAGAAAAAATGGGTGTTTCCCTTAAATTCTGTTTTGTCTTTCAGACTTTGCTTCAAACACACACACATACAAAATACATTCACATAAACACATACACACCCACACACACAAGACATAGATATACATTCCAAGCAGAACTTTCATTCCATACACACACACACACACACACTAAACACACACTCCCTATTGTCCGCACACTTATCAGGTGATTGTTTAGTGTTGTATGAGGCTCTTATTTATAAACATTTTTATACAGAATTACCAGAAGGTACACCTACCCTGTACTTACACACACTGTCCATTTTATTAGGTCCACCTACCTTATAGCTCCACTAAATAGGTGTAAAATTATACACTGTATCTCACCTGTTTCTGCACAGTTTACCCCATTCATCATTGGTCAGTTTCTGACCATAGGGCCGCTGTTGTCCAGATATTATTTGGGTGGGTGGTCATCTCAGGACAGCAGTGATACTGACATGGTTATGGCATGGTAGTGTGTACCACTGGTAAGAATGTATCAAAAATAGCAGTGTTGCTAAGGTATCACAGCTAAGCTGAGAATGGCCGTTAAGGAAGGGGTAGAGGACAGCTAACACAAGAACACTCTTCACATGAAAGAAGAAAGATGAGCTATCGATATACTAAGGCACCAACAATATAGTGTGTCCAATAGTGCTGTGTATGCAAACCTTAACAACACCAGTGTGTCTAATACACTCGTACCAGCACAACAAACACTACCATATCAATGTCACTGCAGACATAGAATACATAGAATGGAACACCACCCAAAACAGTGGTTATGTGGCCAGAAACTGACCAATGAACAGTTGAATCTATTTTTAATTGTGGCTTCTGGTTTGAAGTAATGCAGAATGATAATGAATCCATCACTGATGGGTTCATGCATGTGTTTATTTAGCTAGGGAGCAGGGATGCTATAGGACAAAGGATTAACTTCAGCATTACACAGTGAAAAAAAAAAATTAAACAAAAACAAATCTGACAGAAACCCACTAAACTCACTGAATCAACTGAGCTACTCCTGGGAAACAAAAGTAAGCAAGTGTCCATTTAAACATTTGAGATCCATTGTGACTTGACTGAAAAGAAACCCAGAGGTGTTTCATGTAATATTAAAAACTGGACAAAGAACCTTTTCGGACTTCTGAAGAGATCAGCAGTGCTTTTATCAGCTCCAGTAATGGCATTATTCTATGATTAGATTAAATTCAACTTTATTGTCATTGTGCAGACTACAGGTACAGACCGAATAAAATGCAGTTATCATCTAACCCAAAGTGCAAAATACAGTATTATTTACATAAAAAGTGCAGTAACCATGGTAAGCAATGCTGTAGTTACACTATGTACAATTAAGGACGGTAGAGTGGTAAACAAAATATAGATATGCAAGTATAAATAAAATATACATATATACAGAGTGAATGAAAAGAATGCAAATGTAGGTAGTATGTACTGTAAGAGCAGCATATGTAAAATGATAAGTATGCAGAGAAAAACATGTACAGTAAATGTCTGTGCAAATACGAATAGTGCAGTAATAGACTGCAAATATGAATAGTGCAATAATACTAAGACATAAAGTACAGTGACAGTGCTGTGAGTGCAAAGATTGATGCAGAGTGCAAAAGCTGTCAGCATCTAAGAGAGCAAGTGCTCAACAGAGAGTAGATTTCAGTTCACTGGAACTGTCAATTGTGGAAAACATCTTAAATGGGGCTTTGGACTATGATGATGCAGTACGCCCCCCGATGGCATGTGTGCATGTTTATGTTTTAGCCAACTAGTTTATTGTTAGCAAGCTGTTTCAACATCTCCAGGGAACATGGCTAATCTGGCTTTTTGGTTACATTTATTTTCACATATCTGTTGTTTTATCACTCTGTAGATGTTAGCTGATCTTATTGTACTCTGACAGCTGTGAAGAAATTTTTACGCAAAGAACTTACATCCTTTATTTAGTTTGGACTCCCACAGTGTGGTGCATCTAGTGTTCTCCAACAATTCTGGACACACCCTTGAATTTCAAGCTTTGCAACTGTCAAAGTGACATTTCCATGGTGAGCTGAAGTGACACAAACAGAAGTATTTCTGAGGTTAATAATCGTCCGTAAGGCTGTAGTGGAATTAATTTTACCTGGTGCTTACAAACTTCTGGTTCTTGTGAAAAGATCTGAAGATACGTTTTCCACCACCGAATTGTGTGTATTGTTTGCCTTCGCAGTTAACATTTTAGATAACTTCTTCATCATGTGGACTAACATGGGCAGACATTTTCAGCATTACATTAAAACAGACACACTGCATATTGTTGTTTAGAAAGATTTTATTCACTCAGAATTCTCCCAGAGTTTCCAAGATTATCATAGTATGAATTGCAATCCTAGTGTAGCACTAACATTAATACAGTTATAGTATGAAAATTTAAATTCAGCTGACTTGTCAACAAAAAAACAATGGAGACAGCTTCCCTGTACCTCAGCCATGCAGTACTAATCACATTTCACTCAAAAAGGTAGAAAGGATGAGACTCAATCCTGTGTGACGAAAGCACATCAATGTTAAGTAGTAAAGTATTTTGGGCCACATTGTAATTAAAGTGGTTTAAGTGGTATTGGGATGAGAAGAGGAAAAAGATAACATCCACCTGCTACAGAATGAAAACTTTTGAAAATGGTTCCTTTTCAAAGAATTATGACGACAGCAATGATTTACTCAGTACATCAGTCACTCATAATGTGAAACAGGCTGATGGTAAGATGTGCTGAAACATTAGTAGGCTAAATCACTTGTCGAACTATTCGATACTACTTGGTATAATTACGAATTTTCATTGTATCACTATAATCTCTAGCTACTCATAAAAAATTGGATAAACTACGTTTAGGATGGTTTCATATTTGCTGTTTACACTGTATGGCCAAAAGAATGATAATTATTGTATATGTTTCAGCCACACTCATTGCTAACAGGTGTATAACACCAAGCACATATGATGCATATCTCCATAGACAAACACGCAGTAGTATGGGTTGTACTGAACAGATCAATGACTTTAAGCATGGCACTGTCATAGGAGGCTACCTTTGCAGCAAGTCAGTCTGTGGAATGTCTGACATGCTAGATCTGCCCCAGTCAACTGTAAGTGCCAATATTGGGACATGGAAATATCTAAGAGCAATTACTACTCAGTCGTGGAGTGGTACACCACACAAACTCACAGACCGGGCTGCGTGTGGTGTCTATCCTTGCATCACCCACTACAGAGCTCCAAACTGCCTCTGGACGCAACATCAGCACAAGGACTGTGCATCAGCAGCTTTGTAAAATGGGTTTCAAAGGCTAAACAGCTGCACACAAGCCTATGATTACTATGCACAACAGCAAACCACTGGACTCTGGAGCAGTGGAAACATGTTCTCTGGAGTGATGTATCACACTTCCTTATCTGGCAGTCTGATGGATGAATCTGAGTGTGGAGAATGCCAAGCAACACTACCTATGGTGTGCTTAGTGCCAACAGTAAAGTTTGGTGGAAGCTTGGTGGAAACCAAATTTCTATATTCCATGACCTTTCCACAAATGTCATTATCATATGAACTCTGTACTGTGCTGTTTAAGCTGCTGGTGAATTTTGCAGAGCACAAATCTGTAGATACATGTCCCACCACCACATTGTGTGTGATGCAATTAACATTTCAGATAACTTCTTCATTATGTGGACCAACATGGGCAAACATTTTTAGTATTACATTAAACCACTGAACACACTGCATATTGTTGTTATAAAAAGATTTTATTTACTCACAATTCTCCAAGATTATGACAGAGTAAATTGCAATGCCTATTTAGCCTGAACATTAATTTTGTGCATTAATAGTATAAAAATTTTAATTCAGCTGATTTGTCAATAAAACAGTTGTTTAAAACTCATCTCATTGAAACAGCAACACTGTAGACTAATTCACAATAGAGACAGCTTTCCTGTATCTCAGCCACTAACTACATTTCACTTAAAAGGGTAGAAACGATGAGTCTTCATCCTGTGGAACAAAAGCACACCATTGTCAAGTAGTAAAGAAATCTATTTTGGACCACATTGTAATAAAGTAATTTAAGTGGTATTAGGGTGAAAAATATGCTCTTACTCGTTAAAGGGAGCAGCTCTCCAGCCACGATTCAGAGACCTGAGTGTTCTCATATCCTCCTCATCCAGAGAGAAGTCAAAGATCTGTATTCAGATTTATGTAAGACATTACTCTAGAGCAGGGGTGTCCAATCTTAGCCGGTGTGGCTGCAGGTTTTCACTCCAAACAAGCTGAAGCACACCTGATTCTACTTGTTCAATCAGTCGGTCTTGGTCTTGAAACATTTAATCAGGTGACCTCCTGCTTTGTTGGAGTGAAAACACCGGCCCTCTGCGGATAAGACTGGACACCCCTGCTGTAGAGTAAAACAACTCTCTACACTGTCATACGCTTAATACTTGTTTGAGTATTTTCAATGACAGCAGCATTTACTTAACAAGTCATATGGAATTACTGTTCTATTGTGATTCGTTTACCTCATTACACTGACTCTTCTTACCTCTTTAACTTCATTGCAGTATGCAAGCATGAAGCAATTGTTGTGCATTGCTACATTTGAATACACAAATGATGAGGAAGAACCATGTTTTAAATTTTGAGACTATACTAACAGGGATGGGTTACCTTTTTGTTTTCCATAATCTGGACGGAATTAATACACTTTGGAATCACTGCGATGTCCTGTTCAATGTGATACCTGAGCAAAACCTGCAAAACACCTGAGATTCAGTATCGGAGGACATACAGAACAGCATGGCTGTGTTATTTGTATGAGAGAGGAGGTTTGACCTGCGCAGGAGTCCGACTGTGTTTGGCAGCAATCTTCCCAACCACAGGATCCTCCAGCAACTTTTCAGAATCTGTTTGTCCTCTGTGCCTGCATGACAGAGATTGAGGAAGAGCATAATTAAAGGCTGATGTTTGGACTGAGATTATGTTATATGATTATCTGCAACATTTCAGTTTGACGAAGACAGGTGAGCCAGTCCAGGAGTCAAAGTCCTTTAAATTGTACTTTACTGGCTCCCGGGGCTAAAGATATATTCAGATCAAATAACCCAAAACAATGTGGTCAAATGTGATGTGAACTTACATCTCTTTGGGTTTGTCTGGTGAGCCAAAGGGACAGTAGGCTGTGAGAGCAATATTCTTCGACTTACAGTATTCAATCAGATCAGACTGAACCAGGTAAGGATGAAGCTCTACCTACAGATGAAAATGATTCTTTTGTACAGATTTTGCTTAATTATGTATGCAAACTATTGTTCCTATAAATGTTGAAACTGATAGGTCTAAGAAACAAATATTGACCACATCAGTAAAACCAATATATTACTTTAACACTACAATGTCTCAGTACCTGATTGACAACTGGAGGGACTTTAGCCACAGACAGCAGCCTCTCAAGTTGTGAGACAGAGAAGTTGGACACTCCAATACTCTTCACTTTTCCAGAAGCCTTCAGAGCTTCCATCCCCTGAAATGTACATGCACAGGACACTGTATAACAATCAAGAACCTCTTTATGGGTTTTACAGATCTCAGAAATCTTACCTTCCACACATCCACATAGTCGATGTCTGTTGTGAGAGCTTTTCCATCCTTCGTTGGAAAGACCTTGTCACCCACTTTCTGTGATCACAAGCCATCAGGTTATTCTGTGTGAATGACACAAGTACTGATACAATACATACAAAAAGATGAGCCCTTGATGTTCAGTGATGTTTTGAAACTTTCTATCTACCCTCTTGCAGCACCACAACCTCTGAATCTGGCTTGGCCCTATCTGTGCTTTTCTAGCTCTCATTACTGTGTGCACCTGTGTCCTGTTAACTCATCTTTGTATCAGGGATGTGATGTTTACTGGTTTTAATTTTATGCCACATTATAAAACCCAATGATAATCGTACTGTTTCAAATTTGAATAATTCTAGTAACTGTACTATTGCAGTCTTTTTAAAAAAGGCTGTAACAAGCTGAGGGACATTCACTAAGCTACTTAAATCCCACTCATGTTTGCCTGTGATAAATGTGCACTAGTTTAGCAGTGAACGAGTTTCAGGGTTCATACACTTTTTAAACAGTGGAATTCCATGAATGTTTGTTAGTTGGTCAAGTGAATTTGGGTTATAGTAGGTTATGTTTTCTACAACATATACCTTTGAATTATTTTAATCATTATTCTCACAGATCATTCATATTCAAAGAAACTAAACTTGGTTTGGTTAATGTAAGTGTTAGATACAGGGTTAGCCCTCTTAATGGGTTGATTTTTTTTTGTTTTGTTTTTAAACTTTGCTTTCATAATATCATTAACATTTATGCTGATTAAAAAAGTTATTCCCTTGACTATAATCTGAATGCAGTGCTGTTGTATAACCTGTAGTCCTACAGGGAAGTGCACCAGGTACAGGTCTATGTAATCCAGTTGCAGGTCACTGAGAGATTTATTCAGACACACAGGGATGTCCTCAGGGGCAAAATAAGTGCACCACAGCTGGACACAACAAAACAGAGACATTTTATTAGTTCATTCATAATCTTCAGAGATTTTACACAACCAAAATTCAAACAGAATCAAACTTCATAAAGCGCCATGAAAGCAGTGTTGACTGGGTGAAATTTGTGCTAAATGTTATTTTCGTAAGGTTGGGGTGTTTTATTAGCCCAGTTAAATTCACTTACCTACAGTTATTGTAGATGTTTTGTAAGACTGACCCACCTTGCTCACAATGAACATGTCCTAGCGCTTAATGATGCCCTGCTGTATCTTGGAGCGGACAGCCTTACCCAAGTCCCCCTCAGTCTGATAGTTGCGGGATGTGTCCAAGTGACGGTAGCCGGCATCTATTGCTTCCTCAATTATTTCTAGACTCCGGCCTGAACTTGCGACCTGATGATCAAATTATCAAACAATACAACATTTCTAGTTTCAGTTTGTATCTAGAGATAGAAGAGAGTTTATATATATAAACACACACACACACACACACACTGTCATGCTCACTTAGTGTACAATTTCTTTTACCTACTTCATGTAACATTCTGCCCTGCCTAACTCAGCAACTCCAGACCAATCAAAACTATTATTACATGTCAACTATTGTTGTAGGAATAATGAAAGCTCAGTTATTGTGGCTGTAAATTTTTAAAGGGCTGTGATGCTCCAACACTATCTGGCCCATTTCACATGATGGCCCATTTTAGCTGATTCCACCTTACATGTTTGAGAGCCTATAAATTATGAATGTTTGAACAAAAAAAGGATGCTGTAAACCTGTTTTCATTACATACCCTCACAACCTCAGGATAAGTGTCAATGATTAGGCTGTCTGCACTTAACATCTTGTAAAGCCAGTGTATTTTTGAATGAAAGCTTGAAATTTAAATTTTCAGTCAGTTTTCAGCATTATTTCTGCAAAACATAGTCCAGCACATTAACCCTAAAAGTATGCCCTGAAATCGCTACTGTATTTTACCATAGGCCAGACCAACCAAGTCCAACACAATTTAGGAGTTTTTCTCTGCTTGAACACAAGCTTTAATCCCTTAAGACCCACCAGTCTAAACTTCTATTACACATGTCTATAACGTAAGATTGACTCAGCTAGTTTGCAGTGTAGTTCTTGTACTTACTGAATAATAAAATAGTAATTAATTTTTAATTAATTAATTCATAATAATTCTAACGAGGGTTAGCTTGGATTTTAAGGGGTTAACAGGTGTGCTAGAGCAGGAAAGTGACCAGCCTGTGCCAGACCATGTCTAATGATGAGATTATTACACACTTTTATGATGAAGAGTGACTCAGCTAGTTTGCATTGTAGTCTTTGTAGTTACTGTGTAATAATAACGGCAGTTTTAAAGTGGTGGCCAGCACCCTCTTGAATTGAAATCTGATTGGCCAGATGCCACAATTTCTGCCACGTCATTGGCCTCCAGCTCGCTGTGGGGCGGGTGTTTGCGCTCTTACGAGGAGAGTGGTTCGCTACCGGTGATCGGCCTCTCTCCACTCTGACACTCCGTTTTGGTGGCAGAGATGTTTACTTGAGATAAAAAATTGGCCCTGAGTAGAAGCAGCACACCAGATCCAAAGTTGCTGAGCGAAGCAAACACAGACAGCAGAGATTTGTTATGGTTGCCAATCAAATAAAAATGCTTGCTTTTAATGCACAGTTTACCAAAATGTAATCCTACCCTTAAATGAAATGTTCCCAGACCCAGCAGTGGCATGAAGTTGCCATCGTTGAGTTTGATCTTCTCAGGCTGTTCACTGCTCATGATGGAGATTATTATTAGCGTCAAACAGATCTCAGAATAGTAGACTGGCTGAGCGACTGACTGGCTTTCACTCTCTCTTCTCTGCTTCTCTGTGTTTCTCCCTCTTTCTTTCTCTTTCTTTCTTTCTTTCTTTCTTTCTTTCTTTATGTTTATTCAATCACTCATTACCCTGAGGCTGTGTGCGTATTTGGACCGAGTCTGTCTGTTTTAGTTGTCGAGTTGATCGATCTCTGGCTGAGTGAAAACTCGCTATCACATTCTTAATTTTTGGTGATTGCAGTGGAGACTTTATAATAAACTTTATACAAACTTTATAATGAAGGCTAAACAGGCAAACGCCATGAGCTACTAAACAGAATGACCAATCAGATGTCTTATATCGTCTTTTTTTCTTTTAATCAGCAAATCACCACCGACGTAGCAAACCCCGGAAGTAAACAGTCAGAGCTGTAAAATCAGCGGTTTAGTGTTGTTTAGGGAAGCGGACTGAGTGGATGTTATAGCGTATATTGAGACTGATTTAAGGTAAGTTTTGTATTGTAAATATAATTTCAGATATGAAAAGTGTCATAGTGCCAGTCAGAGAGTCTGTTCTCCCTCAGCTCTCTCAGACGCCCCATCCTGGGAATGTCAAGGATCTATATTAAGTCTGCTTGTCAAATAGCAAACAGATAAACCTGCCGATTATAGGCTAACAATAATACTGATAATGATGGTGATGATGGTGATATTGATACAAACCACATCGGTCAAGTGCATCAGTCTATGCAGCACATTTTGAACAGTGAACACTCAAGCACATGCTGGTGCATTTTGCTGTTGCATCCCCCCTTAACACATTGTGTTTTCTTGCATGAGCTTTGCACAAGTTCCAGGACCCCCTCTGATGCTGGTTCAAGGGTCATCCAGTCTATTTCAATGGAATTTCCCCTCAATTCTCCATCCATGTTGAGTGGGAGCTGGGATGTCAGAATGGCTCTGCGCGCGTCTCCGATACAGCAGCCTGGTAATTTGCCCTTTGAATGTGAGGAAGGCTCCTGTCTGAACATCTTCCAGCCTTGAACATGTTGTATCATGCAAGAGGTCACATGTGAACACCTCTATTGCCTGGTGCAATTCTGATAACACTGTGAAAGAGGGACTTATCCTACTGAAAATCCTGGCAGTGTTCAGGATGTGAGAGGACTTTCTTTACTGACTTTACCCTTCCAGATTCACACAAGGAACCCACAGTGTCACACTCAGTGAAGCAATGGAGGGCAGTCAGGAGATTACATACACTTTATCCAAAGCATTTTTTAAACTTTGACTGCAAAATGCGAGTTCCAGAGGAATGAAATGTGTGTCAGGCCTTTTAAAAACCACACTACTGCTGTAATCTGCTGCTTCTAGGTCAGCTGTTATGTTGTTTAGTTGTAAAGAATGGCTCTTTCCTCCATGTCCCATGAAACATGTGCTCTGAAGTGATGAATCACACTTTACTCTCTGGCAGTCTGGCAGAATCTGGGTTTGACGAGTGCCAAGCTAGTATAATGTAGACTCATACAAGCTCAGAAACAAAATTGAACTCGGTATTGTTGGACCGATTCAGTCAGCAAAGATAATGTCCCTCTTAATGCCATCAGCAAGAGTAACTCTTGGTAAGGCCAAAGGCCTTGAAGGTTCCCAAATGGTCACTTTTCACCCAGTTATACGAAGATGGAAAAACCCAGTTCCAACTCCTGAACCAGTGGCTGCCATCATCATCTGATAGGATAGATTGGAGATGGGCAACAAGTCCTTATCTCATGTCACAGTGTCCTTCTCAAGCAACATGTCACAGGCCTCACAGCAATATAGAAGCCAAAGAACTATAATCTAGCAGTAAGAAATATATTCTTAAGAAGCATATTCTGTGTATTGTTATACAACCCCATTTCCAACAAAGTTTTAACCTTTTTTTTGTACTTTTTTCGATGAAATATAGGCTTTAAATTATTTGCACATCATTGCATTTTGTTTTTATTTACATTTTGCACAGCATCCCAACTTTTTTGAAAATGGGGTTGTATATTTATACATACATACATACATACATATATATATTTTATGTATTTAAAAAGGTTCAAATTTGATTATGGGAGATAATCTACATTCCTTCACTTGCCTTTGCAAATTAACGTTTCAGATAACTTCATTATGTGGACTAACATGGGCAAACATTTTTAGTATTACATTAAACCATTAAACACACTGCATATTGTTGTTTTAAAAACATTTTATTCAATCAAAATTTTCCAAGATTATTACAGTGTAAATTGCAATCCCACTGTAGCCCTAACATTAATACTGTTATTATAAGAAATCTTCAGCTGATTTCTCAACAAAAACAGTGGTTTAAAATTCTTCTGATTGAAACAGCAACACTGTAGACTTATTCACAATGGAGACAGCTTTCCTGTATCTCAGCCACTAACTACATTTCACTTAAAAGGGTAGAAACGATGAGTCTTCACCCTGTGGAACAAAAGCACACCATTAAGTAGTACAGAAATCATTTTGGACCACAGTATAATAGAAGTGATTTAAGTGGTATTAGGGTGAAAAATATGCTCTTACTCGTTAAAGGGGGCAGCTCTCCAGCCACGATCCAGAGACCTGAGCGCTCTCATATCCTCCTCATCCAGAGAGAAGTCAAAGATCTGTATTCAGATTCATACAAGATATTACTCTAGAGTAAAACAACTCTGTACACTGTCATACGCTTAATACTTTTTTGAGTAGTTTTCAGTGATTGTAACATTTAGTTAACAAGTCATATGGAATTACTGTTCTACTGTGATTCATTTACCTCATTACACTGACTTATCCTACTTATTTTGTCTTAGAAAGCCACTTATTAAGTATATATGTATCAAAAACAGCTGTAATTAATTTTTACATGACCATTTTCCAAACCTCTCTTTATTCCTTAGAATTAAAAAGGCTGTTTTTGTAATTGCACCTTGAAGACTGATATATGTAAATGAGCTCTGTTCTGAGTGGCTGTCCTGTGTTGTGCCTCAATGACCTGTCTAGGTAGATGGGTTGTTTTCCATGACATAACAAAAACCAGTGAAATCAAAATGGGCTGTTTTTGTAGATTAATTTTCACATATGGACTGTATGGATGGAGGTGGTGAAAATAGTGAAAAAGTTTGTTTTGTTTTGTTTGTTTTTGTTTTGACCTCTTTAAATGTATTGCATTATTCAAGTGTGAAGCATTTTTTGTGTATT